TTTTTACGATGTATAGTAATTCACGCGGAGAAACACTTCAGGACGAAACGGGCGAGCCTGGAAAGAATAATTATTTTGAGTTTATGACAACTTCTTTGTGAGCGTTCCTCCCCAGTCCTTCATCCACCGATCAACTACCGTCGCGATTTCGGTTGCGGGTCCTTGAAATTGCGACCCCTCCCTCGGCCCATGACCAAAATGCGACCCCTCGTTCGAATAGTGCGAACGGACGGTTGACCCTGGTATCCAGGTTGTATTCTAAGAGATTTGACGACAGCGCTAAAAATTGTCTTCACTGAACAGTATTTGACAGGAGGGCGCCTGTTTTTCTGAATAGTTGAGACAAAATATAGCTTCTGATTACTGGAACTCTTCAGTTACAGCTTTTGAACACAGGCAGTGATAGCAATCAGTCCTGGATCCACAACTTACAAGATAAAGTGAAAAAGCCAACTCTGAAGATTGAACAATTTGCTCATGTCATTGGGGGGGGGGGAGGGGAGGGGGCGCTCAAGTGAGTGAGCCACTCACAGTACCTACAACTAAGCCTACGAGAGGGAAGGGATTCTGGAAAAGCATGTCAGCAATTTTTGTTCTCCCTAACGTTCATAGATTTTCTGGGCTTTGTCCTAGTGTCACCTACCAGCAGTTTTCGGATGTCCTGTTTTAGAGTCCCTCCCTCCCCCGCCGAGGACATGAGCGCCAATTTTCCCCGTTTTGACGGCTTTCCGGCTGCTGAAAAATCCTCTAATCTGTATTAGGGACGTTTGGGCCCGCGCTGCCTTGCATGCTACTGAAGATGTCCTTGAAGGCAGTGATCAAGATGGCTGAATCGCAGTGCGGTTTTGATTACGTCATGGAACGCTGTTGGTGAGGGGTACCCCCCCAGGAGGCCCGTCGCGCGGCAAGAAGGCAGAGTCGGCGGACGAGTTGCAGCGCGTGATGTGCGATGTAGGACGTGCAATGGGACACTCTATTTAACTTGACGCGAAATCCCTATAGTACGCGCGCGACTCGTCCGCTGACTTTGCCTTCTTGCCGCGCGACGGCCTCCTGGGGGTAACCCATCTGGGCGCTAACCCGCTGGTGGCAAGCGTCGTTAAGAGACAATTTCAACCCATCCCTTAGGCGGTATGAAGGGTTGCTACCCCACCATGCAATGACGGGCATCAGAACCCGTATATCGCCCTCTCACAGCCATCGTAATTACGCCTTCGAGTAACACACGGCAAGGGTCCGAAGCAGTGTGGTCACTTGCCAAGAGACTTCTCTGTTTCAGCGACATTCACAATTCTAGTCTCTGGCCCAAAACACATCTTCTAATAGACAAGACTGGGCGCTCATGTCCTTGGGGGGGGAGGGGCCATCCGACAACAAGGCCGATGTCAGGTGACACTGGGACCTAAGCCCAGGAGACGGGGAAGAGACGCCAGGGAGCACATATATTGCTTGCATCTTCCTCAGGGGGGGGGGAAATATTTATTTTTTTGTGTCCTTTCCTGCTAAGGGCACCGAGTTCCAAGCCAAGTAACTGGACTTCTCACTGGCTGTGTCCCCCCCCCCCTCTCCCCCTCAGGAATGAGCGCCTAAGACAGATTTTACACTGCTAGCATACTTACATTGCTTCGAGGCGGTCGCTGAGTCTCGTCTTCCATTGAAACGCTGTACTTTCGGTTGTGAGTTGTGAGACAGATATAGTAACAATGACCGTGACCTCTCTTGGTGGAGGTATTTAAGGATCATTCGTATCTTTATCGAGCATCACATGTCTCCACTACTCATTCCTAGCCATATCCAGTGACTTCTTCAGTTGCAGAGCGTCGATCATCGTCCGATCTCGTCCCAGTGTAGGCCGTGCATCCGACCTCCGCTCAAGTTGTAGCATCTATTGAAAGGTGTTGCACATACGATGATGACTTGTTGACAGAAACTGTATTACATGAACTCGACGTTCGATAAAATTTGGCTCGTGTGTGGTCTTTTTGGGTATGCTTCTGGAGCCACAAGCCAAGATGGTACAACAACTTTATTCGGCTAACGTTTCGGCTTGGTCGCCTTCGTCAGAGCCTGGAAAGTCAAAGATCAGTGCGACCTACCGCAGACATCATTTCAAACTTCGAAATAGTCCCCATAGACCCGTAGCCTCCAGGGGGTGCCATAAATCACAAACACCAGTCAACTCACCTTAGAACGCACGGTAGGATTTTGCTGAGACCACCGCTAGACTGACTCGCTGTGGGTGGCTCCAGATGACCTGGCCCATCGGCATGGAGCCGATGGCGCTCAAAGCCCACAAAGGTCAGCGAAGGTGGCGAGATCCTGGTTGTGGCGTAAGAATATCATCTTTCTATTAATTTGATTTTTGGCGCTGCGTCCAAAAGGCCTCAAAACTTTTTGCGCACTGAGGGGGTTTAGGGCTCTTCGTGTCAAACATCCTATACAGAGGCTGAATCCGCGCCTCCGTGCATTGATCCGAGCCACCAGCGGAGGGCAGTCTCGGCTTTGATTGTAGACGCCCGTCTAGGTGTTCCTTGTTACTGGTGCAGAACGGTCGCCCAGTTTCCCCGTGTCAAACAAGGATACCATGCAGTCCAACCTTTGGGCTGCTTAGTGAGCACGAGGCATCCATAAACATGTACGGCCTCTCGACCACCCAAGTGGATGACATTTGTCAGTGAGTGTCTTTGTATGTCGGATGTGGTACAGATGGCACGAGCCAGGTGATCAGAGAGACCAAACGATGCCATGAACGTCCCCTCGTCTACCCGCACTATGCGACCACCCAGTCTAGAGGCGAGTTGGCTGTAGGACCAGCCACTGCGGTGGCGGACACCCGAAAGTGTGGGCGAAACACTAGGTGGGCTGGGCGCGGAACCCATGCTGAAACCTACGTGGCCTTGTCGTCATCGGCAATTTCATGACAGGAGCTGGTAAAACCTGTATGCTTACCGATCCCGCTTCACGCGCTGGAGGCATCCCACTTACCTGGTGGATTGCATCTTTAAAGGCAAGCCCCGGTATAAAACTGGTGGTAAGAGCGCTCAGTGGAATGAAGCTGCGACAGCCCGGACATTAGAAGGCAACATGCAACGCAGAAATCTGCTGGTATCGCTTGGTTTAGAATTTAAATCTTACAAAAAGGCGTTGCGATGTGGACGATGGCGAGGGCAGGGGCGGTCAAAGAGACAAAACACCGAAGCAGCATCCCGCCCAGTCGAGAGGGTATGAGATGGGTGGGAAGCGTTGCAACGAGGGTCGATGGTTGCAGGCCCGTAAGGATTAGCGCCCTAACCGCGCAACTTTGCGGCTAAGCTGGACTGATCTGAGTGGGTAGGGGGGACCTTACAGTTTCCCTCGCGTTATCCTTCCCACAAGTTGGGCTAATCCCGGGGTTTGACTTCAACGGAAAACTATTACAAATGCGTAGATGTCCAGTCGGGCTCTGTGCCGAATCTCCATCAAATTCAACAGGAACTACTCATAGATAACATTTTTATTTTCAAATTGTAAGTTATTCCGCTATTTGACAGAATAGGATTACTTTACTGTCAGGAATTAAGTTGAACACTAAGTAGTTACGGATACTAATGGTGATGGATCACCTCTATAGAAATTCCGCATAATCAGATTCTGGTAGATCTTCTTTATCGTGCACCGATTCCAAAGTACTTTTCGAATATTGTTCTTCTAACGGTTTTGCGGCCTCCTCAGCTGTTCCTATGGTTTTTCGATCTTCGTCATCATCCATTTGTGTTTGCAACACTTCCATCTCTGACACAGTTTTCACAGGGCTTGGTTTTACGGGTAATGCTTGTTGAAGCTTTTGTTTCATAGCCGACATCAAGAATCGCCGTTGTTTCGACAGTAATTTTTGATACTCTGCATCAAATTTTGTCACTTTCTCATCACTCGCCTTCTTTACTCCTTCCTGCAACAACCATAGACTCACTTCATTCCCTACGGTACGGTTGTGACCATTTTTTGGGAGTACCCGTCAGGAAGCCCGTCGTGCGGCGAGAAGGCAGAGACGCAGAGGGGTCAGCGGACGAGTCGCAGCGCGTACTGTAGCGATTTAGCGTCAAGTTAAAGAATGTACTATAGCACGTCCCACATCACACAGCACGCGCTGCGACTCGTCCGCTGACCCGTCTGCGTCTCTGCCTTTTCTCCGCGCGACGGGCCCCTTATTGGGTACCTTTTTTTGATAGCGACAGAGTAAAACTTCCAAACCTGGCACAGTACTTCAATGGTGACACGGTGCAGAAACACGAACTGTATACCCTTCTGGATTGCGCCATGACGTTGATTACGAAGCCATCTCATGACGGACACACCCGTTGCATCTTTGCCCTTCCGGATTCTCTCCAATAACAGCACAATTCCTGCAGGTAATAACTGAGAAATCTTACTGAAAAGTCAGCCTAGAAATTGAGTAAGTGCTGTTCATACTGAAAGTTATTGGAGGGCTCATACCGTAATTTTAACACATTGACGACTGCATGACGCGCATGCGCGCCACACTTTTTCACGCGGATCAGGCTCGTTTTTTATTTGACATTTCTCGTATTCAAAAACTGCCTTCAGACACTATCTTATCCGGGTGACAGCGCACCAATTACTAGCAATGTTATTTTCGAAGAATAATGACGATTGGAAAAAATAAACAAAAAGATGGCGAGCTACACGCACAACGGGCTGCCGTCAATGTGCTAAAAAATGTAATATTGTACCAGTGAAATCTCTTACCAAGTAAAGTGCATGTTCGGCCAATACCTGCTGAGCAGTGAACAACAACAGGATGACCAGTCGGATTTTTCAACATCTCGTTCAGAATTTCTATGATCGGCGCTAAACTGGGTGGAGCAGACTGATCGTCCCATACAGTGCAATGTATATGTCGTAGCTTTATTTCGCGATCCCTGTAAAGGAAGAATATTGAAACCCATTAAGGCTATTTGTCAACCCCGCGACAGCTTTTAAACCAAACATTAAATGAAAGCATGATATACAGGGGGGCCAAAAAAAGACATTTTGCCTATGTCGGACTTCGGCTCTTTTTTCTTCGCAGAGATTGCTGTCGTTGACGGGAGTTCCTCAGCAGAGTATTCCCTAAGTGTCCCTCTATAAGTGACGCAGGCCTCTCCTTCACTGCCCTCACCGTCTTCAGAATATGACGTCATCTGTCACCGTCGTCAGGCTCAAGGAGGTCTACCGTAAGAGCTTCAGCCTGAAGCTCTTACGCAATTTCGTGAATCGATTTAATGTTTGGATAGTTTTCTAGAGGCATTAGCTACCACTGTGCAAATCCCCTCGGAACTAGCTTTCCAGTAAGGGTCGTTATGGTACACGATCCTTCGAAGACCCCATTGAGATCGACCAGTGCACCATGTTTCCAGGGCAAATTCTTCTGATGCCGTCCACGTAGGTGGCCCACATAAAAAGCCATCTCGATTTCTTCTCACAACATGCACACATGAACTCTTTACATAATAAGCTCTTTGAACCCTTCTGCTTCTAATGAGCAAATGTCTTAAATCCCCATCTGGCACGTGGAGAGAAAAAATGTCCTTTATTTTTATTGCCGCCCCTGTATGTGTAACTTAGACATAGTTGGATTCAACTTTCCTGAATTTCCTTGATAGCCTCCACTACGCGTTGAACCGTGTTGCTATTCTTTCTATTCTCTTATCCTCTCCTGTGTAAAAAAACGGAGCACGATACTGCTCCGCGCAACACCTCGCCCAACTAATGACAACCGTTTCATGTAACGAGGTGCAAACACCCGGCTTGCATATCCAGATGCCTCCGTAACGATGGGCGGGACCCCCCCGATAACCCTTCTTTTTTCTTTCCCCCCACGCAACACACACACCCTCCCGCCATTTCCTGTTGACCCAAATAAACGTGTAACACAAAAACACCTCAATATCATACTGCCACAGATTGTTGCTGCAGAAAATGCTTTCGCGTGGATGCGACGCGCATTGTACGTGACTGCGGCAGGAACACTATAATTCACGCTGACTCCGGGTGCTCGCTCTGTCCAAACGGCTTGTCTTGTGTGCCGGGATTTATTTTATACGTTTGGCAGTGCTCGAAAGGAAACGGACGAGCACTAGTCCAGGTTTTTAGAACGAAATTACCCAGAAGTCATCGTGTGTCCCTAGAAACATGGGAGAACGATGCAATAGAAGAGGAACCGTGTGTGTACCTTTTTGAATACATTTGTTTGTAATCACCCACTTGTTCTTCACTGCCCAGTCAGACAGAACGTTCCCATGCGCTGACGTCGTCTGTGTGATCAATGTGATGGTCGTGTTGCCAATTTTCAATGGTTTCCCTTTCTCCGTCGGATAATAGAGTGCACATTTTTCCTTACCATCTGAGCGAACTTCTTTAAGGCTTATAGAGCCATTAAACTTCTACAGATGCTATAGAAAAGCAAATTGCTTACATTCCACTAATCTACACAGCATAACAATCGTGCAACAATTCTCTTGTAAAATCATATGCCAGAAATCGGAGATTGTCAAAGGAAGAGGACCCTGGAAATGTTTCACCATCACTCAATATTACATAAAATTGATTTTATGTTAAATAAACGAGGAGGAGTAAAGCACTCAGAAGCGGTGCTCATCAAGCCAGTTTGGTAAGCGCCACGCTTTCTAATTTCACAAAAACCGTAATAGCATTTGAATGTAATCAGGCATAGTACAAAGACTTTTGTGGGGTCATTTTTCAAAGCTCTTTGTTTCCTCTTGCGCTTGCGTTCATTTTTGAACCCTTCCACCTGAATTCCGCGGGCTTCCAGAGTTCCTGATTCAAAAAAAACAGCGGGAATTCTTTGACCTCCACTACAGCGCTATCAAAAAACCATATTTGGAATGAGGAAAAATCGCAGTTGCGTAACTGGAAGATTGAGGTGGCCCTCCTTACTGACAAAAAAGCTCCTACCTGTGTGCAAATGTATTTTCTCCCATCAGCACCTGTGAGCCAATTTGCATGTATGTAATCACATTGGTTGCCTTTGAGAATAACACGTGATGAGTCCAGGCACGGTATGTCACGTACCTTGACGAAAAAAGATACGCTCGTGAAATTTTAGTCAACTCAGTGTAGAGAAAACCCTTCGAAGCGTAACGGCTTCTGTTTAGAAGATAATCGAACGTGTACTTGACCTAAAGAATGATCCTGCGGGACAAGCTGACTTTCGAACCACACATCCTCGACTGTCACATAGGATTAAAGGCGATTTTTGAAAAGGCAGCCTCATAAATCGAGTCAGAGAGATCAGTCATGCACGAAGAAAAAAAACAGAAAAATGCCTAGACACGCAGGATCATGAGACCGCTTTTTTCTTATCTGCGATGTAGATGCTGCACTCTCCATCTCGAATGCTGGCGCCTTCTTAAGGCTGGTGCTCTCTGCAAGTTGAAGAAGACTACCAGGAAGGTCTTTCAGGACATGGAGCCCTTTTTGAAAACGGTTTTTTGCATGATAAAGGGGCACATGCATGGAGTACAAAACTAGGCTCCATTTTTTCTGAGCGGCCCTCCTAATGCCAAAAAAGGTATGAAAAATCGGTCGAGGGATCGGTCCCGGCTGATGACAAAATTTTGCATTTCATGTTAGCGCATGTTAAATAACTCCAAATGTTACCGCCGATAAAAATAGGTACTGTTCTTACAATCAGGGTCATCATCAACCTTTCTGATTAGCTTTCTGCCCAGAATTGGGGCGAAAATTGTATGGCGCTAAAGCGGCGCCGAGTTGGTGCCCGAGGAGGCTAAAATGGCGCAATATCGCGCCTCCATCAAAAATGGACGTCAGATTCGTAATCAGCGCCTATAATTACCCTTATAGCCGCCGTTTAGAGAAAAAACCCAGATTTTGACTTCGAATTTCAAAAATGGCGAGCCTGGTAACAATAGTCCGAACGGCAGTCAGGCGGCCACTTTGTAAGACAGCTTTCGAGATATAGCAAACGTCACTTTTGGTTGTTAGTTACACTTCCACCGCAGTTCCTGCCCATGGGGCAATCTGGCATCACCCCTTGATCTCGTCGATGCATGGCGTATGCCTGGGTGGGCACTGGCTACGTCGACGAGCATCCTGGACGTTCCTCAACGCCGGCAATCTGCCTTCAAGGGAAATGGAGTAGGTGTTCCTTGCGAAGAAAATGACAACTTCACTTTTCTGGCGTTCGTTAGATGCAGTTGGTGTGATCCGCGCCTGTGATTCAGATGCTTCATTGAGTTTTACCATAACTGCTAGTTATTTATTGCTTGTAAACGGAATTTCGTACACAACTGAAAAACATGGTACTACTACGAAATATCGCAGAATTGTGGGAGAAAGTTCTTGGAAATGACACCTATAGGCTTTAAGTTCACGCGCAAGCACATGCAAATGCAAAAAAGTGATAATCGGAAAAATGCAAAAATCCGAGCATGGAGGGGAACCGAACCAACAACTTCGAACAAACCGTGCCAACCAGAGTCCATCACGCTATCCACTCGACCATCCGACCACCGCTGTAATGAATGTCAACAACTCTGATGAAACTTCCTTGTGCTTTTGAGCACTTATTATATACAATTTTTGGTATTGGCCTTATTCCACGCTGTTTTCAACGTTCAGGTGAAGAAAATCTTCTATTGTGCGTCCACTTAACATAACGAGTGATATAAACTACGTTGAAGGTGTGAAAACTCCGATTTCTGAAGAAATTTTTTTCACTCCTTTTTTGGCATTAGGAGGGCCGCTCAGAAAAAATGGAGCCTAGTTTTGTACTCCATGCATGTGCCCCTTTATCATGCAAAAAACCGTTTTCAAAAAGGGCTCCATGTCCTGAAAGACCTTCCTGGTCAGAGACGAAACTATGGAAATACTGCCGGCTAAAGAGCGCCGTCAACTGGGATCGCGGAACCCGCTGCCATGCTAGGGGGGCCCTCCTTCATGTAACCTTATGTCCGCGGTCGCGTTACACGACAGGGCTCCTCGTCGCTCGTTAACAGAGCAAAGTTCGGCGGACAGCGTCGCGCATTGCGGAACTGATGATGTAACTGTTGTAGGTTAAGAATAGAATGTTGCATGTAACGATGCTACAGTATCGCACATGCAACTGCGCTCTGTGACATCGTCCGATGACTCTGCCTTATTAGCCGCGGAGCAGGCTTCCCTCTCAGGTAGCACCGTCATCGGCACCCCCCCCAGGCACCCGCCTGTCTTCCCACTAGATAAGTTTCCCCTTTTCAACCTTCTTTATCGTGGAATTCTCTTCTGAAGGCCTCGTACAAAATATGGCTTGGTTACAGAATAATGTGCAACGAGGAAGGGAAATGCTAAATTTCTCAGACGACGCGTGAGGGCTGTCGCGGATAAAGCAGCGTTCGAGGCTACTGAGAAAGAAAAAACTTAGGCTCCACCTTCGTGTTCATTCTGCGCTCTGCTCTTGCGGCAGAGAGGCAGAACACTGCGTATATTTAAATGATGCCAGGTTGCCGTGGAATCTCGTCCAAAGCACAGACGGGAAAATGAAGGTCCCATGACGTGAAATTAGTTTCGACCACTCTCACTGAATCAGCTCAAATGCTTACCGATTTTTTGTCTGGTTAGCTGATGAGGCCGTGATGCTAGCTGTAGATTTATAACCCATATTGTCGCGGAAACGACGAACCAGGTGTTTCACACCCTGAAAGTTGCGATAAAATAGGGCCACTTCCACAGACGATTTTCACAGAGTTCCTCTTTTTCTTCCAAAATTTCTTCACGCGCTGTATTGCCATATAATTACACGTTCATGTTTTTAGTGAACACTTATTAGGGGATCGCGTTAGTCAGGTTCCTATTTAAAGGACGAATTCACGATGAAAAAGCAACCCATTTCAAATTAACCTAGGGATGGTGAGTGGTACACGAAAGAAGGAAGAACCATGAGAAACGGCCCAGAACCCGAGAAATGGGACCCCTTCCTTGCCCGTTGATTTGCGCATTGATGCGACTCTCATCGCTGTGCCC